TCTATTTATTTTATTTTTTTTTTGTTTAGCTTTTGTTTTGGTTTGGGGGTTTTTTTTGTTGTGGGGGGGGAGGCTTTGTTTTATATATCAGATCAACTTTAAACCAAGTGCATGGGAAGGGTTTTAACCGTTTAGTTTGTTTTAATTGAGAGAGGTAGTTGATAGCATTCTAAGAAAAGGAGTTTCAACGAATTTCCGCGAGGATTTGGCAAGCTTCTCTTCCCGATCTGTGTTTCCACTGCTGCCAAGCCAACGGAAGAGGACTCCCAGGCTTTCTAATTGCCTTGGTCCTGGAAGCTGATGGAGTCCAGTGGCCTAGTTCACTTACTGCACCTGTTATAAGCTTGATTAGTTTTCTGCTGGCTTGAGGAAGGTACATCCCTTTGTATCTGGGGGGGAAGGGAATGTAGGCGGATCCCATGGAGACCTCCTACGGCCTCCGAGAAAGCAGGGTGAAGGAATAGGGCTCTGTTGCATCCAGGTTTACAAGCTAGGAATAGGCTAGTTCAGTACTGTACTGGCCCATGGCAAATGTGGCAACAAGCCATGCTCTGTAAAGCCTGTGCTTGTCGAATGGCTGACATACGATAGGAGGCAGGACAGCCACCAGGTACAAACCTTGAAGCAGTGTGGCTTGTGAAGGACTGATGGCTGTAACCTTTCAGTGATGGTACAATTCAGTGCTGTACCTGATGCATTTACTTCTAGGAATCGTAGACACCGGGAACAAACCCTGTTCAATAAACTTTGGAAAACCTCCCTGTTTTCATGCATTGCTGGTGGTAACAAGTGGCTTTTTGCTAGGCTTCAGGCAGCTGCTCACTTTTTGCTTCTCTAAACCCCAGAAAGAGAAAGGGGTCTAAGGTAGGGTTTCATCTGGCAGTCTGAAAACCTTCCTGGATTCCAGCCATGGAAGAGAAATCTAAGGTACCACCAAATTTATCGTTGCAGTACACTGTCAAATACAATTGCTCCATGGCCTCTCCTGTGTCCTACACTGTCTGGTTTGGTTTTGTTGTATTGCCTAACTCTTATGGTAGGTGAGAAAACTGACCTACCCTTCATGGTAATGGTCTTGAGGGATTAGATGAACACTAAGATGTCTTTCTGATGGGACAAAAAGAAGGCATCTTGTATGTTGGAAAGACTCCAGTCCTAGAGGGGATTCACCATGTTGCTAGGGTCTCTTTCTGCATGGCAGAAAAACCGACTGCACCTTTTTGACCTCTGTCTGCTACCACAGAAGGTTTAAACCGTTCCTTCAGCCAGAATTGCCCATGGGCTTGTCTGCTTCAAGCTGTGTTCCCACAAATTGCCTTTCTCCACTTCTGGTGTTTGGAGGATGTATTCTGTACTGGCAAAATATGGTCCACCCTCTCTGTGCTCTGTAGGTTGAACAGTGGCCATTTGAACCCAGCCTCTTCTACCTGAAAGGAAGCAACTGTACAAAGCCTCTGCCTACAGCGAGGTGTATGGGAGATTCCCAGCCAGTAAACTGACACGCGTACAGAGATACAGCAAACAAATTACCAGTAAAAAAAAACAAAACACAAAACTGCTAGAATACAGATCTGTTCACTGACTTGATCTTCTGTCCCATCGCCCTGTGTGATTCCCTAAATCAGGTGAGCCCTCAATGGTTGTTGAAAAGATTTCTTTTTTTCATTTACTCTGCTGTCATTTGAGAGGTGGCCATGTGTACTGATGTCCCCTTCGGCCTGGAGTCATTTCTCAAAGGCTGTAATCTGATGTTTACGGAACTTCCTCTCAGGTAGGGCTTGGCACGTGCCCTGGGGCACCTGTACAAGCCAGCAGCAGCTGCATCGCAGGAAACGTTATCTTTCCTTCGCAGTGGTGGCAAGGAGAAACCCATGGGGATGTCTGTAGAG